TGTGTGTGTGCGCGCCAGTGCTTGCCATTCCTGGCTTTTCAGAACTCAGGTCTTTATGCTCACACAGTAAGACCTTACCTACTGAGCCATCTCCCTAGACTGGGAAGTATTTTTTGATATGGTGACATTGTGATAATAGAGATTGAGTATCCCTTATCTGAAATGCTTGGTAACAGAAGTGTTTTGGATCTCAGATTTAAAAAAAAAAAACAAAAAAAAACACTTGGGATATTTACATATGCATAATGTGATGTCCTGGAGATGGGACCCAGCTCTATACACAAAAGTTCCCATCAAAACTTATCCACAGGCCTAAAGGCATTTTATGTACTATTTTTAGTGCATTTGTGTTTTGACTTCCACCTTTCACATGAGAGCACATGTGAGATTCTCCAGCTATTACGTCATGTCATCACCCAAGAGGTTTTAGATTTGGCAATGAAATCTATTTGATGTTCCAAGTTGAACATCCCTAATGCAAAAAAATCCGAACGGCAAACACTGTTTAGCAACTCTGGGCTGCCAACCCTGTTCCTAGTGTCCTCCATCTCTCTCACTTCATTTTGTCCAACAACAACACTAAGACACCAGTAGGATTAAAAGGCCTCATTTTAAAAACCCAAGGCATTTGCAGATCACCACAGAATGTTCCCTGTTAGATGCAGGACTGAGACTCTAGCTCTGGAACTCACACTTCTAAAGACCCACAAACAAATCATGTCATTAAAAAACATCTGAACAAGGCTGGGGAGGAGGGTCGGTGCCTGAAGCAGCCGCTGCCCAAACATGACCTTGACCCTCCGGAAACCACGTAAAGGTAGATGTGTTGTTGTGGAGCTATAGTCCCTGCCTTGCTTCTGAGATGTGCACAGAGGCAGGAGAATTACTGGAAGCTCACAGCCCTGTGAATATTAATGGCAGACAGAAAGGAGACCTTGTCTCAGACGAGATGGAAGGAGAGAGCAGACAGCGAGGTGGTCCTCTCACCTCCACATGCGTGTGTTGGTACTCACACTCATCAGTTCCCAGACACACATCTCTCCCACACACAGACACACCACATGCGTGTGTTGGTACTCACACTCATCAGTTCCCAGACACACATCTCTCCCACACACAGACACACAAACTCTGAACATGCAGAAGCTAATCTAACTTGTGTTATCATTACATTCATGTAATACATTTTTTTGTAAAATCATAAATAGCAGTATTATACCGAAAACGTTGAATATCATCATCAGATACCAGATTTTTAATGACAAGAAACCCATTTTCTTCATAAAATTTTCTCTGCTCCAGGCTTAGGACATTATTATCCAAAGTGTACCTAAAAAAGAGAAAGAAAAAAAAAAAACCTCCATGTAAGTCCCAATTTTATTATTATTATTATTATTATTATTATTATTATTATTATTATGGTTTTTCGAGACAGGGTTTCTCTGTGTAGCTTTGTGCCTTTTCCTCACTTGGTAGCCCAGCTGGCCTGGAACTCACAGAGATCTGCCTGGTTCTGCCTCCCGAGTGCTGGGATTAAAGGCGTGCGCCACCACAGCCTGGCTCATAAGTCCCAATTTAAATTACAAGCTAATAGTATACAAAGAACCTGAGATCTATTCATAGGGAAAGGGGGAGACAGGGTCTCACTGTGTAGCTCTAACTGGCCTGGAACTTGCTAACCTTGAACTCGCAGAGATCTGCCTGCCTCTGCCTCCTGACTACTGGGACCAAAGGTGTGTGCCACCACCCCCAGCCTACATTCATATTTTTTAATTCAACATTTCTATTTATAAGGCTTTATTGAAGTAACCTAGAAAAGTTTTTAAAGAATGTTAAATCCAAAACATTACATATGGCCACCAAAAAAAATGTGTTACTGGAAAAATATTAACGAAGGAATTATATCCATGCAAGAGATGTTTAAAATGAAGGGCACAATACTGTGGATACACTTGTCATAATAGAATATGATTGAAGTCATATAAAACAAAAAACACACACACGGAGAAAGAGGGGGGGAGGGGGAGAGAGAAGAAGGCAAAGGGGCATGGAGATGTTGCCCAGAGGCAGAGCTGTTGCAAAGAAATTTTGTTTTAAAACAATGGTTGCCTTTTGGCAATAATTCTAAACTCTGAATTTAAATTTTTTCCTACAGCGAATAAGAATTGTCTTTCAAATGGAGGACCAATATAGTAAAGTGTGTGTGTGTGTGTGTGTGTGTGTGTGTGTGTGTGTGTGTGTGTGTGTGTGTGTGTGTGTGTGTGTTTCTTAAGACAGGATCTCACTTTGTAGTACAACAGGCTGGTCTTGAACTTGGAATTCCCCTGCCCTGACTTTGCAAAGTCTGGGATTCCGGGCATGTACCACCACACCCAGATAATACATTTTAAATCGTGTGGTCAGTGCAGTCTCAGAAACAAACAAAGTAACAAAGCTCACATAAGCAGATCACAAGCTTACAAACTCAGACCAACCAACCCACTCCTTAAGGTTGGCATTGCTACTATGTGTACGATATTTATGAAGGCTGGGCTTTTCCCTTTCAAAACAAGGCAATATACATGCCAGGTGCTGGCCTAGCATAGTCTCAGCTGCTCAGGAGGCTGAGGCAGGAGGCTCAAGACCTACCTGATGAGACCTTACTTCACAGAAATAAATAAGTCACACACACACACACAC